TGTTAATTTTTGGGCGGGGGGGGGGGTATCTTTCAACTGTGCTATTCACAATAGGTATTTTATATGTATGTATTATATAATATAAATATATATTCATTTATTTATTTATTAGTTCAAATTTTAGAGCATGGGAGCTGCAAATGACAAATGTTTTGCCAAGCAAGAATATCACTTATGCCTTATGCACATCTCGTACGTGTTTCAGGGCCTTTGGGTTGCGCATGGACACGACATTATTGTACATACGAAAAAGGCAGCAACACTTTCAGCATGTGCAACACAGAGGCAAAACCCACAGCTAAACAGGTACAAAGATGCTCATGTTTCAGTGATCTGTTGGAAAAGAGCTGCTGTTTGCATCAGATCCTCACTATCTGTCTCTCTCTTTTCACAGAATGGTGTCATGTCAAATCCCACAGAGAAGTTCAGACTGAAGTCCTGTATCAGGAGGAAGACTGACTCGATTGATAAGCGCTTCTGTTTTGATACTGAGGTGGTTGAAAGGTGGGTATCTGCACTGACGACACAGTACAGGTGTTTTAAATCTTTAACACTCCCTGAGAAAATCGACATATTGTCATCTGTTATTCACCCTCATGTTGTTATGAACCTGTGTGACTGTCTGTCTTCCATGGAGCACAAAAGGAGAAATTTTAAAGAATGTCCATGCTCCTTTTTCCATGCGTTGTATTTTATATCAGGTTATATATATATATATATATAATCTTCAAAAGAAATATAGCACGCAGGTTATTCTGCGTCGGCATTTTAGTGCCACATTAAAAAAATTAAATAAAAAAATCTAAGATTACGAGATTAGTGCTCTTTAATGTGGCGTGACAGATCGCTGTATTCACTTCAGTTTAAGCGGCATGTGAATCAGTCATCTTTCCGATTACAAAAGGAGAAATTTTAAAGAATGTCCATGCTCCTTTTTCCATGCGTTGTATTTTATATCAGGTTATATATATATATAATCTTCAAAAGAAATATAGCACGCCGGTTATTCTACGTCGGCATTTTAGTGCCACATTAAAAAAATTAAATAAAAAAATCTAAGATTACGAGATTAGTCGTAATATTTCGAGAATAAAGTCGAAATACTACGAGAATAAAGTCGAAATGTTTCGAGAATAAAGTCGAAATTACGAAAATAAAGTAGAAATATTACGAGAATAAAGTCAAAATATTTTGAAAATAAAGTCGAAATTACGAGAATAAAGTCGAAATGTGATGAGAATAAAGTCAAAATATTTTGAGAATAAAGTCGAAATTACGAGAATAAAGTCGAAATGTGATGAGAATAAAGTCAAAATATTTTGAGAATAAAGTCGAAATTACGAGAATAAAGTCGA